AATATTGCGAACCAAGGCTTAAAGATATCCTCCGGCAGTTTTAAGTCGGCGGCCTTCTTTTTGTTCACTTTGAGAATTGAGTCTCTCAACACGACCTCTAGCTCTTATTCTTTATCTTTGTTCGAGCTGATGTCTTGCTTCTTTTTGTTTGGCCCTTCATCTCGAGGACCCCCTCGTTTGCTGCGGCGACCCACTAGCCTCACAGGAACCTCTTCAGACACATCTTGTCAGACCTCGGTTTTAATGATTGGCTCGTTGACTGGCATTATGCCCAAATCTACTTGTCCCACATGCTCACTAATAATCTCCATAACGGTTGTTGGGGGGGCTTCGGATACTGGAGTTGCTTCGGTAATCACGACCGACTCCTCCCTGATTGTTGAAGGCTCACCAGCAGTCCGACGAGAGCTTTCCGGATTTTTCTTCCATGCCTTTAACAGATTTTTGCGGCCCGCCATCTCAGTTGATCTTAGATTTTTACCTTTACCGACCTTATTCTTCAAATCGACGTTTGGATTCTGCTTCCTGAAATCCTCAGCGTCCACCGGGTCTCGGAAACCGAAACACCCAAGTAGAGAATAATACACAGCGAAAAGAAAATTTATCCTTTAAGTCAGTAAATCACTCATCAATATGCCACGATCTTTATATTCAGTGTGTTTAAGATCGTCTTTACCTGGTTGAAACGAAGAATCAAGAATTCCAGGTGACAGACCAGCAAGCTCTAACCGAGAATCCTTTACTAATTGCTGGTACCTTCATTTCGTTGGCGAGAGTTCAAACAACAGGACGAACCGATTGTACACTTCCCCCTCAAACCGCGGTTCTTTGCTTCCTTGCGGTTTGGCTACAAAGTTTATAAAAGTCCTCCTGTTAGTGCAGAAAAAAGAAAACGATTAATGATTTTAGACAAATAAGGGAAGAAATTCAAACTTACGATAAGCAGATTTAATTTCAGTTGGGATGGTCATCTTGTTCGGCAAGAGGTCAGAGGCAAAGTCAGCACATTGCCAATCTCTGCCGACCCACGCCCATTCTTCTTGGAAACCGTGAAGAGTGTCAGGCACCTCTGTTATTAATTCTCTGACTTTAACCCTCAGTTGAGGCTTGCCAGCAATAGAAAAAGTGACAAGTGGGTTCGACACTTGTCTATCTGGATTTTTTCGGAAGGTGAACATGCTTCTCATGTCCTTCGCCGAGGGCAGGTCCCATGCCTTCTCGGCGAAAAGGACCAACAACCCTATAACTCGTTTCCAACTATTCGGGGAAATTTGGCAAAGCTCAACTCCCAATTCCATAAATACTCCGTAATTAATCAGGGAATCGGAAATCGCAAACTCGACCTTAAACTCTCCGTGAATACACCCACGCAAACCGGGGAAGGACATGTAATCCTCTCCCCAGGATATGGAGCAAACAACCTAACCGACGGTGGAACCCTAACGTCCTTTCTCAACATCACCACATCGGCATCCGTTAATATGTTAGCCTCCCCGTGAAAATCCACTGCAGGATCCGGCCATCTTCAGATAGGCTATTTCCAAAACTCCGACTGCTCGACAGCATTCGCCTCGACTTTCATATCTCCTTCCACATCGTTGAGTTTAATATCCAGGTGCTCAACAAGAGCCGGATCCCACCGATAGTATTCGACCAGCAATTCCATCTCGCCGGAGTGTACCATATTTATTATCATCACATCATACTCAACATTACTCGAGGATGTCCACGACAGACTCATTTTTGATCGAACAGTAAAGATCCAAGGTAAATTAAAATAAAAAGATGAAAACCCTTACCAAGAGCGAAGAAGAGCAAATCTAAAAGAATCGATGAAGACAACTATGGAATAATTGAATAAGAATAGTGGAGATTCGAAGAATTCAGAAGACAAAATCGTATCGAGAATCAGAAGTAAATTTATTCTCAAGCGGCGCAAAATTATTTATAGTCTTCCCTAAATGTGACCGTTATCATAAAAGAGGGGCGCGTGACAGTCACATCCCCGTTTCGCGATTCGATGTGTTTTTCGGGACAGACGCCAATTATTAATGGCTACGTGGGCTATTATTTTCATCTGTTTCCTAATCAGCGACCGTTATATTAAATGGAAGAGTTGAGCCGTTTCAGCTTCACATCTTCCCGTCGTCCAAGTGTTTCAACGTCGGTTACAAAGAGACAAAGATACCGACGTCTGTCGAAAAAAAGATGAAGTTGAATGTTATTAAGATTTTACAGCATCAGCACACGTTCTCCTGAACGTCCGCTAATGTTGGGGGCCATCTTGTTGACATCATTTTTCGTAAGCTGGACTAGCACACAGTTAAGGCTGGCAATCACTCCAAGTATTTTCAAGTCGGATACGGGGGAATAAAAACCGACGTCACCCCGTGACAAGTACACGAAATAATATTGGCTACCGTTGGCCTAACCGATGTCTTCTCAGCCCAAAGCTTTGTCAACCGACGTCATTCAGGGAAAAAGTACCGACGTCTTGAGGCGGTGCCTAGTCGGCTTGTAATCATGACTGTCGGCCAAGTGACGAACAGTCGCCTTTGACTATTAACCTCGCATTAAATGAAGTCACACCTACCTCTTACGTGGGACCACCGCTCTATAAATAGCGGACCTCACCCCCAACGAAAGGGGAGATAACTTTTGACTATTCAAATGTACCCTGTACTCAATATGAAAAGCTTATCAATGAAACTGATGATGCCTGAGCACCAAACGGACGTCATTTTTCTTTGAATAGCATCGTTAATCAGTTTAATAGCGTTGTTAAAATTCGTTTAACAACAATAGGTTTCCTTGAATTAAATTGATATTTATTTGTAGGTAAAAATGATGATGTAAATAAATTTGGAGTTGATTTTGGAATCTTCATTTAATTATATGGATGATTCTTTTTTATTTTAACAGATTTAATAGAATCATTAATTTGAATTAGCATATATGCTATATACACAAAATACAATTTTATAGTAACAAGTATGTACCCCATGCGATGCACGGGACAGAGATATTAAATGAGTTATTTTCATATCTTTGTCCGTTTAAGTCTAAAAAGTAATAGGGTTATTATAATTTTTCTACCTCTTTTAATCAACGTTAAGCTATTATAAGCTTTTTTTCCACATCTTTTAACTTTTTTAGCCAGAACATTAAATATGAACATATTAGGGATAGCTTTTAAAATAATTAATATATTATCTCGCTAAACCATTTATAATAATAAAAATTTAATTTTACCATATAAATTATCCCTTGATATGATTATATGAATTACGGATTTACATAATACTATGGATTTATTCTTTAATGTTAAGATATTGAATTAGGTAATATATGATGCACTAATTTGTAATATGTCTCTTTTTATATTGGAAATATTCACGTGATTGAATAGTGATAACAATTATATATAAATCCCTTCAATTTAGGCCTTTTTTTTTCTGAAACGACAGAGATAACTATATATACAAAAAAACCGCAAGCATACAATGTTCCAAAACAAAGATACAACTCAACCGAAAAGAAACATGAGAGACACGCCAAAAGATGGTCTAAACCTCAACTGAAAACAAAGCCTGAAACTAAGCTACAAAGCAAAACAAAGGAAAGAGACTTCCAACCACTGCAAAAGCCTAGCCAGAAGAATAAATCCCAGAAAAACCAAAACTAAAAAAACCGAAAGAACAAAAGCAACAAAACCAAGAAACACAAAATTAAGAAACTGCAGCAATATACTCCAACCAGTCCAGATGGGCCATCTTCACTAATACATGCTCAGGGATCATGGTCTTTTTAAAAATCCAGATATTCCTGGACTTCCAAAGCCACCAAAGTAAATACGTAGAGAGTTGTATGCGTGCTTCAGCCACCTCGGAGGAATCCAGCAAACAAATTTCATACCACCAGTCAGGAAAATGATCAGTTCTTCCCTTGATGCCATCCCATTGAATAGGGCAGAGTTCCCAACATTTCTTTGCTCTTGAGCAATTAAAGAGCAGATGTTCTAGATTTTCAGGACCTTCCCCACACATAGTACAAGTAGTGTCCAAAAGCATGTCTCTCTTCAACAGCAGCACAACCACAGGAAGAGAATTGTTAAGGCATTTCCAAAGAAAGAACTTGATCTTACCTGCAATCTTTAGTTTCCAAAACCTAAGTTTAGTTCCTTGCTTGATTGCAGCTGCATTGCTGCTTTCTGGGATATCATCTTGCAAGAGTTTAGAAGTTGACAGGTGCTTGTAGGTACTGGAAACAGTGAACTTGCCTTTCTTTTCTAACCCCCAGTACATTCTATCACTTCTGTTTGCATTTAGTGTGTTTATACTCAGGATTGCTTTGCTGTCAATTTCATCAAACACTTGATTCACCAACCATTCATTCCACAGATTTCCACAGGGTTGCAGCAAGTCCTTAACCCAAACCAGATGGCCTCTTGCTATGGGAATTAAGGAAGGTGCTGGCTTTGGAATATTAGGAATCCAGTTGAGATCTTCAATTCTGGTGTTAAGCCCATTCCTTATCTCAATTTTCAGCCATTTAGCAAAGATAGGCAGAATTTCCATCCAGCTATTCCACATCTAGGAGCCCCCTTGGATTTTTTGAGCATGAACAATGGAGGAGTGTGGGAAGTACCTATCCTTGAGGAGTTTGCTCACAAGAAGATCTGGGTTAGTTGCCACTCTCCACAGCTGTTTACATATCATAGCTTTGTTAAATAATTGCAATCCAAGGAAACCTAGTCCTCCCTGCTACTTAGGGAGTGATAACCTGCTCCATTTTTTCCAATGAATCCCCTGTGAATGCTCTGAACTTGTCTTCCACCAAAATTGGGCACAAAGTCTAGAAATTTCAGAGCAAAGAGTGACTGGGATCTTAAAGCAAGACATTGAGAATATAGGGAGAGCTTGAATGACATCCTTAAGTAGTACCTCTTTTCTAGCTGAGCTAAGAAATTTTGATTTCCAACTGAGCAGCTTATTCCTGACTGAAGTGAGGAGATAATCAAAAACTTCCTTTTTAGCCCTGCCAATGCCAAGAGGAAGTCCCAGATATCTCATGGATCTGTGTGATGTGATGCCATTCAAAACTAAACAGATAGAGGATCTGATGTGCTGGGGTGTATTTTTACTGAAGAAAATTGTTGACTTCTGCAAATTAATAGCCTGCCCAGAAAAAAGCCTATACTGCTCCAATAGATTAAGAAGAATATTGGCCTGATCAGTCCCTGCTTTGCAAAAAAATAAGGAATCGTCTGCAAACAGCAGGTGAGAAAGCATTGGACCATTTCTGGAAATTCTCATCCCCTTGAGCATCCCATTATTCAAAGATTTCACCACCAAAGCAGAGAGGAGTTCAACAATAATAATAAAAAGGTAAGGGGACAGAGGGTCCCCTTGCCTAATGCCTCTTGATGGTGTCACATAACCACTGAGAGAACCATTGATTTTAAAAGAGAATGAGGCAGAGGAAACACAGATCAAAATCAGCTTCACAAAGTCCAGATGAAAACCCATTTGCAGCATTATCTTTTTCAAGCACAACCATTCTACTCGATCAAAAGCCTTTATCAGATCTAATTTGAGAGCCATAAAAAAATTTGGACCAGAAGAGTGTCTATTTAAGAAATGGAAAGCTTCTTGGCCAATAATAACATTATCTACCAGCTGTCTATCCTCAACAAAGGCTGCTTGAAAAGGGCTGATGCAGTGAGATAAACAGACTTTAGGCCTAAGAGCCAGTATTTTTGAAATAATCTTGTATACCACACTGCAAAGGCTTATAGGCCTAAAGTGCCCCATACTATCTGGATTCAAGGTTTTTGGAATTAAGAAGATTACTGAATGATTCCAGTATTTAAGGATTATACCTGTCTAGAAGAAGTTAAGGACAGCTGCCATAAGATCCTTCTTAATAGTGCACCAGAAATGCTGATAAAATGCTGTTGTCATGCCATCCTCTCTAGGGGATTTGTCTGGATGCAAACTGAATAAGGATTGTTTTACTTTTTCTTCATCCACTGGCTTAAGTAAGGCTTGATTCATATCTTCAGTAATTGAGGTGGGAATAAGAGGCAGGATGTTGTCTCCACCCCAACTACCCTCAGTGGTGAAGAGATTTTGGTAGAAATCAGCAACATGCCTTTCAATATCTTTCTGGGTGGTAAAGATGGTGCCTTGAGTGGAGATCAATCTTGTAATGGCATTATTTCTTCTCCTCTGAAGAGTAAGAGCATGGAAAAACCTTGTGTTAGCATCTCCTTCTCTAAGCCACTTGGATTTAGCTTTTTGCTGCCAATAGATTTCCTCTTGCTTGTGAGCCCAATTCAGATTCCTTCTGGTAGCTTCCCAATCTTCCCAGTCCATAGCAGCTTTATCTGAGTTGAGATTTTCAAGCTTCTTGGTAAGAGCTGCAATTTCTTCTTGTCTCTCGGATTGAAAACTTGAGCTCCATTTGAGGAGTGCAATTCTAGTGAGCTTAATTTTTTCCTTTAGCTGGAAGAAAGGAGTGCCTTCAACTGCAGTAAGCCAAACTTGTTTCACAACCTCTTCACAACCCTCCTTAAGCAGCCACCTCTTATCAAAGTGAAACATTGTTTTCCTTTTTCCTTTTGGTAGGCCTTGAGTCCACAGCAGAACAGTGTGGTCAGATGCACTTCTAATCTGGTTGGTAACAGAAGCATTTGGATGATGTTGATTCCATTCCAAAGAGCCAAAAGCTCTATCTAATTTTTCTTCCACCATGTCAGGAGGGGCTCTGTTATTACACCAAGTAAAAGGTGGACCTTCCATTCTGATTTCCTCCATAGCCATGCTGTTGACAAAGTTGGAAAATCCTGATAATGAGCTTGGGTGCCTTGGATTACCTCCAGCCTTTTCAAAGGAATATAGAATATCGTTCCAGTCACCCACTGCAAATCAATTTTTGCCCCAAGAATCTCTTTCAGCATTCAAAACTTCCCACTGAGCTGCTCTAATACTCCTGCTTGGGTTGAGATAAACAAAAATTCCCCACTGAGGGGCTTCTTGAGGGAGAATGAATTCCACAGCCATATAAAAAACTTTTAGGACAACTTGCTGAATAATAACATGAGGTTTCCAAAATAGAGCCAGCCCTCCACTGAGACCAGAAGGGCCAACAGTTTTGAACCTGTCTTCAAAACCCAATTTTTTGCTAACAGTATGTACAAAAGCATTAGATTTTTTGGTTTCTGAGAGAAAAAGAAAATTTGGGTGATGAGTTTTCAATAACTCTCTGATTTGGGAAGCTGTAGAGGGCCCACCCAGCCCTCTACAATTCCACACCATAGCTAACATTGATCAGTTGGGTGCCATTCTAGGCTGTCAACCCCCACCTTTTTAGCATTAGATTCTAGGTTTGAGTCATCACCTTGTTTCTGATGTTTGGAGTCCTTGGTTGAGACTTGAAGACCAGATTTAGAAGAAGTCCTCTTAGAGCCTGAGATGTTGTCAATCACTATATGAGTAATTTGCTCTCTTTGAAGTCTGCCAGATTTATTGCCCACTCTCTTCCAGGTCTTTGGTGGTGCCATAATGATTTAGGCATTGCTTCATGGCTAATTGAGAGTGTCGCCTTGGGTTGGCCTGAGTTTGATCTTCCATCCCAGTTAAATTTTCCTTAGAAACAGGTTCTGAAGTAATTAGAGCTCTTGTTTCATTGATTGCTCTATTTGAGGAAGAGAGAGAATTTGCAGATTCCATTTGCCTTGGTGAAGGATTAGAACCTGTGTCCCCCCCTAACTGCTTATTTAGGAGTTGAGTAGCTACTTGAACAGGAATTAGCTGATTGATGTTTTCTGTCTGACTAGTAGAGGCTCTTTGAGAAGTCCCTTGTTCAGCAGTGGATGGGGAATTTGGAGGAGAAGAACTCCTATTCCCTGAGGTAGAGCCCCCCCATCTCAGGCCTTCAGTCGCCCTCAGCCAATCTCCATATTGCCCCTCCCTGAGCTTTTTAGATTTTATATCTTGAATTCTGCTTTGGCACGTTCTGTCTAGATGACCAATTTTGCCACAATAATGGCATAGGCTCATGAGCTTCTCATACTTAAATCCGACACTTACCAAATCCTCCCCCAACCTGATATGAGCTACTCTAGGTATTGGCTCATCCAAATTCAGAGTAACCAGAAGCCTTAAGAATTTACTCCTATGACTGTCTGTATTGGCTATAACAACATTGCTCACCTCTTTGAAAGCTGTACAAATCTTCAAACCCACCTCTGTACTTAGCCAGTTTAAAGGGAGATTTGTAACTTGGGCCCAGAGTTTGATTTCTTGGAAACACAAGTGGTTGGTGCTGAGACCCCTTGTCCACTCACTAAGGATGAGATATTGATTCTCGAAGCTCCAATTCGATCCTCTGGCTACTCTGTCTTTCTCTTCTCTACTTTGAAAAATAAACTGAAAATAGTTGGGGCTGAGCTCTTTAACCTCCATTGGTTGGCTAAGCCTCCATATTTGTGTCATCGCCCTCTTCACGCCAAACCAACCAGCTATTCTGTCGCCAATTATCTTTTCGAACAAACTTCGTTGGCATTCATCATCGCTCATTCTGATGTCTCGTTGCGCTATGTCAATGACGTTGACTTCTCTATCTGATAATGAGAATTCTCCCAATCGGGAGGATAAATCATCGTCTGGACTGAATTTGAAGTTACCCGCCATACAAGACCCTAATCCCTAAATCGCAGAATATTGTTCGAAGAAAAGAACGAATAGATAGCAGAATAATCAGAAAATGAGCCAAGAGATCAAAGATAAAAGCTCAATACGATCTGAAAGAGAATCAAGGAAGAAAAATCGGAAGCTCTCAACGAGAGAATTCAAGGGTGAAGATAAATATTCAATTAAGGCTTCACATTTGCATTAGTTATGGATGACGTAAAAATCAAGATTTTTATTTGAACGATCGAATCTTCCTTTACCGATCGAAGTTGCTTTTTTTGTACAATTTTTTTGACAAAATGGATGTCATGGATAAAACAATTAAATATTAAATAAATTAATTAAATAATATGCTTTAAACAAATATAGAATGCGATAACCCTCTCATGCCAAACAGCGCGATTTCAAAATTGACTCAGATCCAGCAATCTTATCCAATATTTCATTAAAATAAATATTAAATAAAATGCTTTAAACAGAAATAGTATGCAATAAATTTAGTTTGACTTTTCTTCCTACTCTTTTTAGTAAATAGGATGACTTTTTATATAAGTATAGATATTCAAATTATATGACGCCAAATTTGGAATTCTCATTTATGGAAGATTCTTTTTTATTTCATCATATTTATTAGAATCTGTTGAGTAAAGATGACAATATGGCATACGAATTAAAAAATGAGAAAAGTAAACAACACAAGATTTACGTGGTTCGGCAATATGCCTACATCCGCTCACTTCGCTCGGTCGCTCCGCTTCCCTCGCTACGTTCGCTTCGTTATGCTCGCAGGCATCAGCCTGCCCCCTTCCTTTGTCAATATATGAGCCATACCAACAGAATCAATGACTTAGGTTGCCATATATATACACAAAATATAATTTTATAGTAATATTCAAATTCGTTTATTCATTGCAACAAATTTTAAAAATAAACGATTTGTTATGAGATATATATACTTTGTTATGATATATATAAATAAATATATTCCCTTTTATGTGAGATATATACAAATCCTCATTTTATATTCCTTTATACTATTGTTTTAAAACAAAATTTTTAAAATTTTGTATAGTAAATCGATTTTCTATTGTTTGTATTGATATAGTATAAATCTGCTGGACAAAAACTATATATATGTATATATATATATATATATATATATAAATCTATTACATTAAAAATTTTCATACATATAATATAATAGGCTAATGGTCCAATTAAAAATTGTTCGAGCTGAAAAAGTTAACGTGAATTAATGTCTAATTACACATTTATATATTATTTTAGGTATTTATAATATTTTAAACATACATGTTTAATGTTTTTTTTATATAAAATATAAAACTACAAAAATAATAATAGATATTAATTTAGCTAATTAAGTATAATTGATATTAAAATGATAAACTAACAACTCATTTGTCGAATTGTCAGGTAAGTTATCATATTATAAGTAGATCTTTCTGATCTTAGAGTTCTATTTAAGTTCCAACGGCATAATTTTGTATGCACAATATATAAAAGTCAGGGTCAATTTTTATCG